AAACTACTAAGGAATATCAGTTTTCTCCCCCTAGTCTGAGATATAATTGACATCAGCACTGTAAAGTTTAAGGTGTACAGCATAATAACATGTCTTACATCTATCAGGAAATTAGAATAGATTTACATAGATTCCTATTAATTAAAAACATGCTCTATACACCCTCAACCAATTCAAGACATTTAGAATGCTTTTCCTTGGGGCGCCTGGGTGGCTCAGTCAAGCATCTGCCTTCAGCTCAGGTCATGATCTCAGGGTCCTGGGACTGAGACCCGCGTCCCTCTCCCTCTGCAGCTCCCCCTGCTTGTGCTCTTTTTCTCTGTCAAATAAATAAAATCTTAAAAAAAAAAAAAGAATGCTTTTCTTTGTTCAGGGTATCCAACCCAATCCCTGCTCCCAGACAAGAACCTTTAGAATGATTTTACTTACCCCATTTCCTTCCTCCCACTCCACCTCCCAAGTTTTGTGGAAATAATTTAAGCAGTGTTTGTTTCATACTACTTGGTTTTCTCTCAGGTATAGATTTTTTAGAAGAATTTCTGAACCGAACACTTAAAATTCACATTACTGTCTATTTATATTTTATTAGAGTCATTGCTCATCATTGTTTCTTTTATTCATCATCTTCCCCTAACCTGACATCTTAGTTTTGGCTTAGTATTTCTTCAAAAGGTTACCCGAAGACATTTATTTCTGAGCCACTGCATGTCTGAGAATATCTTCTGCTTTCATATTTGAATATCATTATTAAATGGGACAGATTTACACTTGTCCTTTCTATTTTCTGCAAATATTCCAGCTTTCACAGTTTTATTCTTTCTTTTGTAAAGATCCTATTCAGGTGAGAGTCTAATATGAGAGCCTGACACTTAAATTCAGAAATTTCACCAGATTTTGGTTAGGTGAGAGCAGTTTTTTTCCTATTAATGCTGTCTGGTGCTTTCAATCCACAAGCTCACATATTCAGCTGTTTCTTCCCTTTCAAAATGCCTCTTCCACATAATGGTTTCTATAAAATTTTAAAATATGGGTATCATTTCAGTTTTAGAAACTTTCTCCCCTAGTTTCATCTCTTAAGAATTTTCATTAAAATTCAAGTAGAGGGGTGCCTGGGTGGCTCAGTCTGTTAAGGGCCCAACTCTTAGTTTTGGCTCAGGTCATGATCTCAGGGTCCTGGGATGAGCCCTGTGTCAGGCTCAACACTCAGCAGGGAGTCTGTTGTCCCTCTCCTTCTGCCCCTTCTCACACTCGTGCTCTCTCTCTCAAATAAATAGAATCTTAAAAAAAAAAATAAACACAGTTCTCTCCTTTTTCTTTAAGCTGACTCCACAGACACCTTTTCTTCCTTAACATTATTTGCATACACACATTATTATCATAATCAGTTGTCTCTCCAGCAGTTAGTGAGAGAGGATAAAGAAATTTCTGCTTCAGCTGTTTTCCACTTAAGTTTGTAAGCAGTACTGAATTTTTCATTTTAATGTTTGGCAGTATACATTAATAATTAAAAGCAGGGGCTCTGGAACCCAAGGGCAAGTTTTAACCCCTCCGTGTCTCAGGTTCCCCATCTATTAAGTGGATAATAATAATAGTAACTAGGTACAGAGCCTGGCACATGACACTATTACCTATTTTGGTGCTTATTAAACATTTAGAGCAATTAAAGGTTGCTGGAGCAAGGTATAAGGTAAAAAAAAAAAAAATCACATGTTCAAAAACCTGCAGAAGTGAAACAACATCACAGAATGAGGCCTTTAACCCTAATCTCAACTAGATGTAACAAAGGTGATCTGGTGAGAGTAAGGATGGCTCAAGTACTGCCGATCATCACTACTAATTAAAAGCTCAAAGCACATCAGAAATATCATCCTTATTTATAAAAACTGATACAAAAATAAGCAGATGGGGCACCTGGGTGGCTCAGT